GGCGGTCGGTCGCGACAGGCTGGCGTGCTATACTTCATTCTGTCGGAATAAAAGAGGCTTCTTCTAGGCATGGCTTTGAACGGCGCAAACGCCCGTTGGGGTGGCCGAGGATGCCTCCGCCTACGACCAATGCTCTCCAGTCGACAACGAACCAGCGAGAGCGTTAGCGACGCGCGCCGCTAGCAGTGCAACGTCCGATGCCTCTTCCGAAGTGGACGAAAAAGGGCTTTCTCCTGCTAAAGGCGGACGTCGCATTCAGGTCCTGCGCCACCCTCATCCCGGCAGCCTGCAAAAGAGGACGCGTACTGTCTGTACCTCCGCGAGCTTCGAGAGACAGCGCGAGCCCCCTGCTCTTTCCACAAGGGCATGCAACACATCACACCAGGAACATTGGGCTGCAGCGCGAAACCTGGAGACAACCGTCTCGTAACGAGAGAAAATGCAAGTATGATTTCCCTCTTATCTTACCCTGGGTGCAGCAGAAGAAAAGGGAGGAAGAGCGCGTATGTTTGTAACCCGCGCACGCAAATCGTCGCCGGCGTCGCAGCGAATTGGTAGTATCGTTGTTACATTTGGTGAAGCCGCACCCCCCCGCCTGGTGTCTACAAACCAAGGCCATTTTTTATGGAAGGTGTGCATTCTGTCTGGAAACCACATAATCACGAGGAAATTCCCAGGCCAACAGAGAGCAGCTGCGATTTGATAGATAACCACTATGGTCGGAAAGAAAAAACAATGGCTTTGACTCGACAGACCACCGACTCGCGGTTGGTTCCTTTCGAACCACATCGACAGCGGCTACTACGCCGTAGGATCGGGAGGGATACACGCACACCTACCTGCTCTGGATTGAGCAGCACCACAATATCAGCACACAACACGCAAAGAGGCACCGGCCGGTTGGTGTGCTTGTAAATGAGAGCATGCAGCAGTAGCGATACCATGATCTACTCAACTGCTGAGCCCTTTTTTCAATTTCAAGAAAGGGTGTCCTCTGTTCCTCTCTGCACCAAAAGCTTTCCACATAATCCTGGCTCGTGGACATGTTGTCGATTGGTGAATGGTTGGGGTATTACCATCTGATCTCTTTCATCACGATACATATGGCGACACCTGCCTACACACGGGGCACGGGTGCGTCGTAAACAAACGTGCATATTGGTGCCGCGAGCGCGCAACAACGCCTGCACGACGACCTTATACCCAAACCCCAGCGAAAAACTCCCGCTGGAATTTGGGCCTCCAAATCGAGCGGGCAAGACTGTTCCGGGGTATCTGCGATTTGAAATCCCAGTTTTTCGGCAAACAAGAGCACCTTTGCATATGTTGTAAGTAGATGTAAATAAAGAGTGGGATGTCCTGTCGGCCTAAACAAAATCTCAGGAACTGCAGAGCTTCCGTAAGTGTTCGCATGTCTGCCGGCCTCCTAGTACTGCACGGCCTTTCCTCATCAAGGAGTTCGTATCACAAAATCAGTGCATACGGGAGATGGAATATTCACGCACAGGGCTGCGCTGCCAGGAAGGTTGGGAACGTTGTTCGGTAATCAAGTACCGAACGCCCTGCTTGCGGTTGTTGATGTGGATGGATACCGTCCTGTCCTCCCGAAGTCGTTGTCGGGTTGTTCGCTTGTGAGAGGAAAACATGGGCAAAGCGGAAAACTCTCGAAGAGGGCTCCGATTCGTGGCCGCTTGAACGCTGAGTGTTGACGTCCAGAGTGCTCCAGACGGGGAAACTTCTATCCGCAGGTACCACAGGGGGGTAGCGAGGGTCGACGGGTGTGCCAGCAATAGCGTGCGGAGAATGTACGTGGAGTAGTCTGGTCTGGTTGTGACATACAGCTCGGGGAAAGGGAAAGCAAGACACGTACTCACGAAGTAGGGTGAGAACAACACCGAGAGCCACTGTGGCCATGAGCGCCAGCTTGAGGAAAGTGGGTGACCTCCCCCTTTTGCGCCCTCCTCCGAATGTTCGCCCTGGCCGCCGACATCTGAGCAGTAGCCTTCGTACCATCATCAAGCTGCTTCGGTAGGTGAATCGGTTCCGCCGCGTCTCATGCCCGCCCCACGGCAGCCCAGCGCAAGCCCTCTCGGCGTCCACTAAGCTCCAGCCGATTCTTCAGCAGAGATTATAAAGGCAGGCAATCCTTCTCTCGTTAACAAGAGACGCCCACAATAATCGAGGTGATCGTCCGTAAGCTGCCGCACCTGATGACCAGACCCAGCCGCTACTGCCGCTTCGACTCGCTACGCTGGCCAAACTCGGCACAGAGGGGGGCCCACGACTAGTATTTTCAGCCACCGCTGGAGCTGTGCAGCAAGCAGGCTGTGGTGGTGCAGCAGCAGCAGCAACAGCAGCGGTGCCAGAGATCGCGACGGTCTGGCTGGCGCATGGTGTTCGCATCGATGCTGGCATCAGTCAGTTTTCTGCTGCTATGCCCTCAGCTATGGCACCTTTCTGTTGCCTTCGTTGTGGTGTACCCTCCTAGCGACCATGGCAGAGCCTCGCATCGCTGGTTGTTCTCGGAAAGGGCAGCAGCGGCGGCCTTGCAGTGGGCAAGGGCGCCAACTACAGCCGTCCACGCCGACTCCCCGGGAAGAACGTGAGTCAAAGTTTGTGTCGGCACCTCTTTGTGCTTGATCTGTGCAGTGGTTTGCGGGTGACGAGCTCCCTTTCAAGTGCCCGTCTGTGTCGGATGTTACTTGTGTGCGCGGTTTTGGGATCCAGCGCGTCAAGTTTGAAACAGGGGACTTGCTTCCGTCAAGGCGAGCCCACCACTCGCACCAAGAAGACATCGTACTACATGTGCATATGATATGGCAACAGCAGTGGATGGACCCGTATCTGTAAGATCAGGGACGGCGCCAGTAAGAACCCTGTGTGATACTTAAAGGAGTGGATGTAAAACTTACTCCAGACAACCGGGGCAACAGAATTGTTGTTGTTGTGTTGTAGGTTGCCGACAACGGCAGTCCCCTGTTTACTACATACATACTGAGTACAGAGAAGGAAGTTGGTTCACAGCAGTTCATATCCATATGCATAGCAATCGACACACAGAGAGCAGACCACAGCGGTATACGAGGGCGACCTATTCGACAAACGGGCCATATTCGATGTACTCGGGACGACTACGACGTCAATGACTCGCCTCGCCCACTGGAAGACACCGCGACATGGTGGTTCGTAGTAGCGAATATGGGCTCGGCTATGCTCGTTCGTTGTGTCGCATGTCGGACACGGCCCGTGCGCTGTTGGATTCCTCCGTGGCCCCCTATGCTACTTGGCGGGCGTTGCGGGTTAGGCTTGGATCGGGTTGGACTGGAGGTTGTTAAGCTGGAACTGTTAGGAATATTCTCGCACGGCCTGACCCCCAGTTGATTGTGTGCATACATGTACTGTAGATCGCCCAAGGTACGATCTGTTCTGTAGAGAGGTCGACGACATCCCCTTGTCAGTTCACGACCATCGCGGAAGGACCGCCGTGAGCCACTGACATCTCTGACCCTGAGATTAGCTCGTTACCCTCGTGGTAGCACATGTTGGGCGTGCTGTCGGGAGTGCTCGCCGAGCGAACGCGCCGACTCTCTCTTGCTTCGCAGCGAGGTCTGCACGTTGGACGCCGTCCGCTGTTGCTAGGTAACACCGCTCAACAGTCAGGCTACTACTTATAAATAGTAGTGAACGCTACATCCGGCCCCATTTCAGCCAAGACTGGCCTAACCGAAACCAAGCGTTGAAAACAGGCGATCTTCGAGATGCCTAAGATGATTCCATTCGAATTGTTTTATCTCCCACACTCGGTGTTTACATACGTAAAGGCTACCTGGAGTATTTACGTTCGTGTGGTCTACAAGTGAGCTTGACCATCATTAGAGAGGAGGACTTTCGCATGTTACCGTGGACCAGAGGTGACAATTGTTCGGAAGTGGCACCCTTTCGGCCGACATGAACAATCGAGCATTTTTTGAGAACCGTACGTAACCTCGATGCTGCTAACACCTACAACAGCAGTTCGTCAACACACATCACTTCACGTACGCAACGCTGCCTCCCTCCCACGCCCGTGAACTGCCGCAGGCAAGGCTCGCGATGTCGATGTCATCCGCCCTCGTTCGACAGTAGTAGTATTAGTATTAGTAGTAGTAGTAGTAGTCGAGAGCGGAGAGCATCGGAGGGGCGTGTGGTCGGCGGGGCCGGGAGGGGGAGGAGGACGAGACGTCGCAGTCGACAGCGCTTGCTGCAAGCGAGGCCGGGCAACGAGGTGGATCCGCCGGAGAGAGAAGTGATAGACGCCGAGTTCTCGGACGACTTCAGCAGGATCGTCGAGGCGGACCGGGCCAGCAAGCGAAAGAAGCCCCGGGAGGAGAAGCCAGCTCCTCGCAAGAAGCCGGTGAAGACGGCAGCAGCGAAGAAGAGCACGGCCTCGGCCCCCGCCCCGGCCCCGGCTCCATTCACGTTCGCGGGTTCCGGCTTCGCGTCCTTGGAAGAAGCGCTCGCATCGGGGGAGTTCGCGGATCTGTCGGGCGGGCGGGGGTCTTGCCTGAAGCGCGTGGACGAGGACGGCTTCGAAACCGACGGAAATCCACCCAAAGGCTCCAAGGTATTTACAGCGGTACCCGGTTACTTGTGGAAAATCGTCAAGCCGTGAATTTACGTATGTGATCCGTTCCGATTGCTGTCTTGGGGTCCTTGTTGGTTGTCCCGGCCCACTGAGTGTGATTGGTTCTTCCAGGCATCCTTGGACTCTGCCCGGGTGCTCTCTTCTAGACCGTTGTCGGCGTTACGGGAGGGAGTTCTGTTCACCGCAACGCGCCTCAGAGCACCAGTCGGTCGCTGTTTTACGCTGCGCTAGGGAGCTGCCGAGAGCAGTAGGAGTTGCAACCAGCTTATTTTTCGTCTTGAAACCGCTCTGACGTGCTTTCACCACAGCAACCTGGCGGGGATTATTTCCTGTGGAGGTAAACATAGATAATTTCCTTGTTGTTGGTTCCATATCTTTGGTGTTTCGAACTTCCGTTTCGATCTATGGGTTGTTTTTTTTCACATTAAACTCGTGTCAGTTGCTAATCCCAAAATCTAGCGAAGACTCGGTCCGTGGTCAGAAAAATGCTAGAGCCATCAGAAGATCTAAAGAACACACACACTATTAGCAAGAAAAGGGTACACAAGCCCGAGGAGGTACACCTACAATCCCTGCAGCACGTTTGCGTGCTCACAACTGAACTACACGCCCACACACTACAATTCGACCACAGCAGCAGCATCACCCCCCTTGTCCCGCATTTAACCAAAATGAATGTTTGTCGACTACAGCGTACTGCTGTCTGAAGTGCTGTCTGTACAAAAGTAACACCATGGTGCATGGTACACAAGCTCGGGGCATGCACCTGCTGTCTGAAGTGCTGTCAGAATGAGTCCGTGGACATACCATGAAGAACACCCAACCAAAGCCATCATTGCAATGGACAATCACCCGAATCTATCCAATCATCTGTGTTAGGCACAGCAGTGTAAACATCGACACTGACTAGGAATCGTTCCACATTGAAGGGGTCTTCCACGATGCAGGTACACAATTAAGGCACCCGGGTTATCCGCGCCATCTCTGCCGCGTCTCTCTACAAAACAAGTGACGTCATCACACACACCCAACAGCTATAATCAGGAAAAGAACGGGAAAATATTTGACAACACAAGAGATGTTTGTCCGTGCGCCACGGTTCGATGCCGTCCGCACGCTGCGGTTCCTCTGCTCCGGTGCCACTGCTCCGGTGCCGCTGTGGCCAGTCCTAGCACGGCCAAACTCGACCCGTTTCGCTTCGTACACGCTCTCGTTGTTGTCCTTCCCAGTCGGTTCCTCGCTTTCTCCCTCGTTGCACTCAGGGTTCCTGGTCTGAAAATTCTCGCGCCGAAGGGTCAACCAGCCCAATCAGCTCGTCACCACCTGTCCCCTCCTCCTTTGATGGCAAAACCAGGTTACTGAGACAGTACAGCTCCCTCTAGCAAACCTAGGGCCGTGTACATAGTGCCCGTCCCCCTTTCTGATGACGTCTGCCTCCGCGCACAAAGATGAGATGGGCATTGCTGCCTACACCGATGGCCTGGAGGCCCGCGCACCTGCACCTTTGTACCTGACGCACAGTGCCGACCCAACTCCACCACTACGCACGCCTCGCGGCGGGTGCGCCGCAGCAAGAAGGTATCGGTCCCTTGAGGGTGAGGCTAGCCCTGCTCGCTAGAAAGACTCCCCCCCTCGCTATGGGCCATGCCTACGCAAAACCTTGCCGAGGCAGCGAGGGGAAGAAGGGTAATGTGGATTCTTGCTGACGGCGTGTGTTGTTTCCTCCGCGTTTTCGGCTGGCACGGAAGATCAAGGTGCACTACAAGATGAAGGTTGTCGGCGGGGAGAACATCGCGTCCAGTGGAGAAGACCGGACCAAGCCCTTCGAGTTTAGACTGGTAAGGTTGTCCTTGTTAGGTTTTTGCTTGCCTTCTTCAACATGAGCCCTTTCTAGTCTCGGACCTATGCTAGCCCTGCAATACCAGTGGAACCCCCCCCCGCAGCCTTGACTTTTGTAATCTGACTGTGTGCGAGCGCTCTGCTCGGACACAAATCCCTATGAATTCAACCCTGTCTCCTGTGGAATTGTAAAGCTGGTTGGTCAACACCAACTTATCTCACTGAGAAGCGACAGCCCCCTTCCAGTAGACAGAGGGTTTCAGAGTACCTCTCGTTGGGATGCGACGTCACATGCTGTCTCAACGATGAACGTGCAAGCATGCTTGGTTGCGATGTGTTGGCGGCGGTGAGAAGCAGCAAACGGAAGCTGGGTAGTGTTTTTTGTCCGCACGACATGCGTGTGCTAGCGGTTAGCCCTCCTCTCTTGGATCAACGCTGCTGTTGTTTCTGTACCCGAGCTATTCCGGTCAGATCTGCTCGAACGTACCCCGTACCCACCGTACTCTCCATGGCTGTGCATATTTTTGCGCTTGTTTCGTGAATCAGCACCGTCGGCGTCAACAGAGCCGACCATGAACAGACGTCGGTATTTGCTGGGCAACAGACACAGAAACACTTTCTAGTACCCGGGACCTCCTGAAAGGGAGGGGGGAGGAGCAGACGAGATTGTTCCGGACGGTCCAAACTTTGGTTTCGGAGGTTCAGACTGCTTTTAAGAAGAAGCGCGGCGGTTACTAAGAGAGTTGTAACGTATGTGCACGTCCGTGTGTTTCCGTGCAAAACTGAAACAGGGCCGCTGGCCGAGCGAGGCGACCCACGGCTGGGACAAGGCCATCTCGTCGATGCACAGGGGGGAGGTCGCCACTCTCATCTGTGGGCCCCAGTACGCCTTCGGTGCGGCCGGAGCGCCGCCCAGAATCCCCCCAAACGCCACCGTCGAGACTCGCCTGGAGCTGGAGGGCTGGCTCGACCTTGCGGCGGAATATAACGCCGTCCCCGGAAAGGTGGAGACGGACGAGGAGCTGAGAGAGAGGTGGAGCGAGGACCTTGCGGACGGGACGAGCCCCATGAAGGACGAAGCAGGTGTGGTGTTGAATGTAGCTGGAGAGGCGGCGAGGTTCCGGGCGGCGGGCGTACTCTTATGTTTTGCATGCCTTAGCGGTTAGACCATTGACCACGCGTCCTCGAGAGGACGGAGCATTGTTCCCACAGGACCGATCACCGATGGCCAATCGTTCCTTTCTACTTTGCCAAAGGTGGCTCAAAAATGTCTTCCCTAGTCTGTCTATCCTAACGATATCCCTTCCCGCCTTTTCAACCCACCTCCTATGCCCCACTACAGCTACCGTCCTTTCCTCTCTATTCCATGCCTCAAACATCTCCCTGTACGTTCCATCTATTTTTCCCAGCTCAGTCACGTACACTTCCCTCTCCTTCTTGTACAACGGACATTCCGCGACTACATGAACACGGTCTTCGCATTCGAAGCCGCAATCACATTTGAACTCGTCGTCTTCGTCGTCTACCGTCCTATGTCTTCGTCGACGTTCTCGAAGGCCTATGTCCCCGGTCCTGAATTTGACCTTAAGCTTTGTTCCTGCATCCATTGGTCCATGTAGGTAGTCCTTGAACCCTTTTCCTTCCTTGAACATTCCGTACACTTCTAGACCCTCCTTATCCTTGGATTCTTTCCTCAGATTCTGTTCTTCTCTCTCGGCACAAGCAACAGATATCTTCTCCTTGAACCCCTGTAGACCCTCCGTTTCCAGCGTTTCATCTTCGTCGATGTCGAGCCCCTTCCATACGTCCTCTACAACCTTGACCCATTCCGTGGGTTGTCTACCCCTCTTTTTGTTTGCCCACTTCGCCTCCCATACAATTCTCGGCAACCTCTCCTCTCCCATCCCGCACATGCGATACTGCCAGGACAGCTTTCTCGCGTCTCTTCCCGACCGTAGGGATTGGATCCCCCAATTCTGCCCTGATGGCTGCATTGCTTGTGCGCTTGGAGCATCCTAGGATGATTTTCGCTGCTTCATCTGCGCCGCCTCGAGTTCTTTCACT